ATTAATAAACATCAAAGCTTGCGCTTACAACAAACATTTGAACTGATTGTAAGTAAAGTATACTACAAAAAACTATTATTTTCAGGTTTTATTTCTTTGCTCATTTTTTTTCATTATAAAACTATCAAGTAATTATCATTTTACAATCCTGAATAAATGCGCATGTTGATGAAACTTGCTAATAAATTTTAGTGATTTTTTTTCAAAAAGTTTACCAATTTTTAACATTGAAAAATTATAGTTCAACAAAAAGTCTTAATACTTATATATACTTGTATAACTATAATTAACTATGGTCTTAAAAATGTTATTTACGGTAACAGATCCAAAGCTTAAATTAATAAAATGAACCAAAATAACCTAAAAATGATCACATTTTCACTAAAGATTTAGTTTGCACTTTAAAACGAGCTTTAAACGAGTTTTCGAACTACGTATGATAATTTTTTTCATGATAGTTATGATCAATACTATCTCATCATTTTGATTGATATTGAGTTCTGGTACACCCTGTATATATATATATATTGATATGTATTAATTACATACACACAGCGCACAAATGTATTTGCGCGACAGGGTTTGCGCAAAGTACCCGAAGCTTTGCGTTCTTCTCCACCGCACGTGAGTTGAGAGCTTAAAATCAGAAAGCTCGATATCAAATAAGATCAAACATACTGAAACTGCGAAACTAGAACTTGCACTTTGTACTATAAAACTACATATTCTTTATTTTATTATATAAAAAAGGTTTAAGTAAAAAATAATTAATTAATTGATTAATCATTGCGCGAAACTGTGGAATTAACTCTAATCGTTATTTAATACCCCCAATTAAGCATGATCGGCTTGATGCGTAACCCCCTTTTTGACATTCAATCAAAATATTTGGTTACTGTAAATGTAACATTCCTTATTCACATGTTTGCACACTTAATTTACCGATATATAATATTCAATATTATCGTGAGCATAAAATCATGATCGTATTTGGAAATTTGTTTCGCATTATATTACTATATTATTTACCAGTTCTCAATAAGTCAGACGTATTTATTTATATTTTTAATTGTTAAAAATAATGAAGGAGTAATGAATATTTAAAAAAAATGAGTTTTAATTTGGTAGGAAGGCCAAATCTGTAACCACTAAGCCAACATAAAGCCCAATTTTTTAGTAGTTGTTTCATGTTTATTTATTAATAGTTTATCTATTGCAAGTGGTGTAAGTGTCAATTCGAGTTCTTTTTATTTGGACCTTATCTTTGTTAATCATGGGCTTTGCATTATAATGTAATAATAAATAGTAGTTTGCCCGAAGGCAGATCCATGGTATAAGAGCTCCACAAATCAATGATACTCTTTTCCTCCTTTGTTTATTATTTTCAGCAGCGTTTTATTACCATTATTCACTTTTTTTTATACCATTTCATGCGATTCCTTTTCCAAACATCTACTTCCATGCTTTCTGGTCCTGTGCATCGGCTTTCAGTTCTCTGTATTTTCTCTTCTCGCGTAAGTCATCAACCGTCTGCATTCTTCTTCTTCCCAACCCTTTCAGTCTTTCTGTTTTTATTTAATAATTTAAACTACATTAACTACATAAACTACTTAATTTTTACTACGCAATTTATTATGAAATTTTAAAACTTTATTATTAGGAATGTAAACAACTAGAGTAATTAAATATTACAAATATATTAAATCCTTCCGTTTCGGTCTACGTCGAGATCGTCATTCAGTCGAATAACTAAATTTATTATTAAAGTGATTACACACATATTTTGAATATATACGTACATATATATACACAAATATACCTATATATTCATATAGATTTTATCAATTATTTTACATAAATGGAAATTGCTTGAAATCGCGAAAGCAATCATCGTGCACTGTAATTCAATAACTGTTAGATGTCAGAGCAGAGGTACTTTATCATCTTCGAATATAACAGCAAAAATCAATATCAAAGCATACCTACTACTAAATTCAATCGATTGCTGGGAACATATTTCAATTATAACACACACCCACACACCCACACACCCACACACCTACCCACACACACACATATATATATATACATATATATATAGGATAGGGGGGGGCACAAAGGTCCAGTTTGACTTTGAGCAATTATATTGTGAAAACCAAACAAATTATATCACAAAAATAACACATATCAAACAAACAACTATCTGACCATGTTTAGTAAATCTCCCAGCTAATTCATTATAGAATTCATCATTATAGAAATGTGCTTTTCTCGCTGTTTTCCAAAAATTTACTTTTTGGTTTTATATTTTTTATTTTTCACACTTTTGCCAGAGTAAAAGTTTAGTTGGTCTTTTTTACCCCACCCAGGTGTAAACTTTCATAGAGGTTATAAAAAGAAACTGTTGAATCTAACTTTAAATTAACAATACAATTTACAGAAAAATTAAATTAAATAATTAAAAAAAATATATTAAGGTTTCATCAATTAAGTAACAGTAAGCACAACCTAACAACAAAAGAAAATACTTTTAAAATGAATTTTCAAACATTGCCGTTTTTCTCCTGATAACAACATCTCCTTCACTCTACATTTTTTCCATCTACTTTCAAATATTGTTGTTAAAAAATTATTAACTTCACTGATTTTTGAGATATCAAAAGACCTTTTTACCCGCAAACCTTTAAGCCCTGCTCTACCCTATATTAGAAATATTAGCAGCTACTTCAGCAAAAACAAAAAAATAATAAATGTTTATTTGCTTCAAATGCAGCATTTCATTCCAGAAAAATACGAACAAAAATGAAAAATTAAAAATAAATATAATATATTTTTAATACAGTAGAACACCTTATTTGATAGTAAAGGTAAGGTTTTTAAATGAATCATGAAATGAAAAGATGCTTGGATTTCATGTAGTTATTGTATATAGTATTCAAATATAGTAGCCAACTTTATTTAAATAATTAATACTTGTGTTGTTAAATTGCATTGCGAGAGACTCTTTCTTCTTTCCTATAACATTTATAATTGATGAAAATTTTCTTCGAAATTTCAAGAACACATTAACATACATTTTTAAAGCTGTTCAAACTAATTCTACTTCTTTAATATCTTTTGCTGTACAATTTGAACGATTTTAATATATAGCAATGTCTCATAAAATGATAGACCAAGTTTGCAAAAAAAATCACAAGATAATTTCAAATTAATTAAAAATACTTTTTATTATATTCTAAATTACGATACTAGGACATTTGACGTTATTTTGAATGGGTGGCAACCCAGTAATTATTCAATCCTATTGTGACTAATTAACCATATACTCGAAGTATTTGTTCACATTTCATGGTTATATTAAATATATGCAGCTATCTATATTCACGGAAGGCGATTTTTATTTGAGGTTTTATTTGAAATCTATAACCTCAAGTGGAAATTTGACATCGAAACTGCCTGATGTCAGACTTGGATGTAGCTGGGATCGCATCATCAAACCTGGGACTAGTTTTATTTGTGTTATCCCACGTCCGAACTTAGTACGCCACCGCTAGACTTAATTAAAAATATGACTAGAAATTATAATAATTCAAAAAATTATATTGTGTTATTCACAAAAATTCAGCTGCTCCTTAATTCTTTAAATGTAAACCAAATTGCAGTCAATTGTATTTTCTTGTAAAAAATATAAATATATACATAAACCAATATACAATTATATGCAATTAAAACTTTATATGTAACGTGATCGATGCGAAAAGATTTCAATTAAATTAATAACAAATACTTAAAACAAATGAAGATAAATATCGTCATGAAGATTTGTTTAAATATTGAACATATTGTTTATTTAATGTTGTTAACGAGTGTACTCTGCTAATGCACTAAATTTATACACATAGTATAAGAGCTGGGGGATGTTAATTTTAGTTACATTATTTTAATAAAAAAAATACTACTTACTAGTTGTTTCTACGCACTTTATCAGTAATATCTTTTATTAACATTATTTTTTTCTTTATGTATATTATATACATAAATTTTATCATATTTTGCTCTAATCAAAGTTTATGTGCGCACAAATATGTATCATAAGCTAATGAAAAAATGGTAAATTATATCTTATGTTACCACAAAAAAAAACTGGCGATAAGAAATTTGAAAATGTTGCTTATATATTCTTAAATCATTGATATATAGATTATAAATTTTTAGATTAAATTTAAACTACATTAAATGAAACTGATTAAATCGTTACTTTTAACTATATTATACAATTTTCTGTAACATTTTAAAAATAATCAATAATTAGTTCTGTTTTATTAAATATATTATTTCAGACGATGTTTGAGGTTATTACTATATTAGATTGTTAAAATTATTATTTATTGTCGACGTTTCGGGTCTATAGAAGTTTCATAAAAGTTATCCTCAGTCAGATCATCCGTCTTTCTTATAAGATGAACAAACAAACTAAGTTTTCTCAAATTATTTTTAGCTTTTTTATTAAAAAACTATTGTTTTTCATTTGATATTTTTTTATATAATCTATTGTCTTTTAATTTTTAATTACCCGTAGGGTAATTGCGTAGTAATCGCAAAAAAATCGAAAATGAAATTTTTTATATATCTTTACGTTTCAAAGGTTTCCGAATATTTTGGCATACCTTAGAAAATATGAATGTATGTGTTTGTATGTGTGTGTGTGCGTGTGTGCGTGTGTGCGGATACAAATTTTCGTCGACGATTTCCGTCGACGAGAAGTTCCAGCAATTTGCCTTAAGGCCCGATGCCATGCACCTCACTAGTTATATAATATAGTTTTGTTTATTTATCTTCCAACCAAGATCATAACCTGGGCAGATATCAGGAGGATGGAACGTTCATAGTTCCGAAACATGGAAATATTTTTTTTAACTGTTTGTGTCTTTTATTGCTATTTTGGACTCATTTGTTCGGAGGCTAACACAATAATTATTTAAATATAATCTCAATACAATATGCAACATTTTCCCCAGCCTCCTGACTATTTGCAGTCGCCGTCTGCCGCAGATTGTATTTTTCCAGTATAAGATTAACGTTTGAAAATAAAGTTCATCTCATATTGATAAATAATAGTAGTGTAGATCGAGTTAAAAGACAATAATCATGAGTGTTTTCATTATAGGTGACACAATAAATCGAGACGCAGCGAGCGATACCACCATGTCGGCCGACGGAATGACATTTCTGCAAAGATGCCGCGCTTCACGACGTCTCGTGCTACTTATTGTAGCTATTGCATTGCTTTTAGATAACATGTTACTCACAACTGTAGGTAAGTAAAATTTGACTAATGAGTTGTAAAAATGAATTGATAAAAATGTTTAAAATGTATAAATTGTAAGCAATTTTCCTTGCAATTTTGCACTGAAGATAGTAGCGCTCTATTAACTATTTATTTACTGAGCTTTACAAAGAAAGTCATGCTGTGAGAAATGTGTAGTGTGTACAAATACGAAAATTTCAAATAATGCTTGTGAAAACTCTCTTTTTATTGACATAAACTAATTAAGAGGGTTCTTTTTGACCATCAAGAATCACTTGAATCTTTCACCATGCAGTTTATTAAAATACCATTCCAATCTGGAGTTCTCCGTGAATAAAGAGAGCAGGTGCCTCAGCTTTACGCGAAATAAAGATTTTAAGTTAAAACTTTTAAATAAATAATATTTAAATTCCCGTAGGGTAAGTTGTAGTAATCGCAAAAACATCTAAAATGAAAATTTTTGCATATCTTTACGTTTCAGATATTTCTGAACATTTTGGCATACCTTAGAAAAAATGGATGTATGTGTGTATGTGTGTGTGTGTGTGTGTGTGTGTGTGTGAGTGTGTTTTCGGATACAAATTTTTATCGACGTTTTCTGGAACACGGATCGACCGATTTCCATAATTTAAAAATCATTCTATTTGATTAATTGGGAGACGTGCTGATTAGTTTTTGGAACAGGCAGGTCCAGCCGTTTCGAAGATACGGCGCAAAAAAGTCCTAAAATGGTACTCCAATTTTTGCGAAAACGGAGCGTTCGATTTGAATGATTTCAAAACAATTTATTTGTATTGAAGAAACGGAGGACTGATTAAATTTTAGGGAAGGCAGGTCCAGCGGTTTTGGAGATTCAATGAAAAAGTGAAAAAAATGCCATTTGGCCATCATTAAATAAAATATACCTGTAATAATATATAGCTGAATGTACTGTGTATAGTTTGCTATGAAAAATAAACAAAAAAAAATTGGCCATCATTGGACGTATGCACATCAAATTATCAGATATTTTATAGAGATTTTAATAATAAGTATAAATTTTGTTTACAATTCTATGGGTTAAATAAGACAGTGATTAGCAAAAATAAATTATAACAAAAAAAAAAATTCTTTGGGTTCTCTATCATTGTTTATCCGTTAGACTACGACGCGGCGCTTACGCGCTTCGATATTTCTTCTCTAAGACAGCCGCAGCTCGATTGCTTTGAAAAAAGGTTCGAGATATAAAAAAAATCAGATTTTTCAAAAAATTTCAAATAATTCAAGTTTTCCAAAAATTAAAGTTTTTTTTAAAAATTTTAATTTTCGGTTCGGTAAGTTTCAACAATTTTCCTTAAGTCACGATGCCATGCAGCACTAGTTTATTATTGATTTAAAAAAACGAACGCGTAAACGGGGGGCGGGTTAAAACATGCGTAAATTCGAAAAACAATACACCTAACAATAACAACAATGGTGCGTTTCTTCAACACCATACAAAATATATTTGTTTTATGGAATTCTAAAAATATTTCAAAGTTTTTTCTAACATTTAATTACTAGGAAATCTGTCGACCGATTTTTACCAACAATGCCCAACTAATATTCTTCAGAATTGAATTCGAAAAGAATTCAGGAAGTTACAATAAAAGTTCAAAGAAAATTTTAGTCATGAAGGAAACATTACATTTGCAAATCGATTTTTTTAAGAAAACTTTCTCCTTCCTTGAAAAATAAAAAAATACTAATATAAAACATTAAAAGTTAGTGTTGGGTAATAAAAATACAGCAATCACATGAATACATTTTCGACCAAGAATTTATAGGTACCTTTAATTCAAATATACTCATTTAAATGTACTTAATTATACAATTATAAACCATTTGTAAACAAATCATAGACGATTATCAACTACCGCAAATTGGCAAAAAACAAAATGCTATTTAAATTTCTTTTTTCTTTCAGTGCCAATCATACCAGAATTCCTTTATGATATAAGGCATCCCAATGCAACTTTAGCGCAAATAAATGATGCAGCATCACCCGTAACTGTACCGCCCATTACACAATCTAACAACAAGTGCATGACGCAAACTGCTAGCAACAACAATGCTACCTTACCACCATATGGTAAAGTATAATATAAAGCTTAATTATATATATTAATATTTTCAATTATTTATTTATGATTATTTAATATTAATAATATAGGGTCCGTCAGATAACTTTTTTTTTTGAAAATGCTATATATAAACTACTGAATATTTTCTGAATTTAAATCTTTTCTATTTGAAAGTGCAATCCTTCTGGTTAATAATCGAAAATAATTTAATTGAAATTGCTGTCAAAAATTCTAAATTGCTACCAATAAAAAAAAGTTATATGGCGGACCCTTTATTATATATATATTGAGTTTCCTTCATAAAAATCTGATTAATGACCTTTACCCTTATACTTTTGGTATAAGGTCTATAGGTGAAACAACCAATTAGTATCATTAATAGCTGAATTGTATCATATTATTAATAGCTTATTATTACAACATGGGTTGATACACGCAACTATGAGCTCTTAATAATAATAATAATAAGTATTTTTTGACAACTTATTGTCACCTAATTTATTTTATACAAATAAAAGTACGTCCTATTGTCGACCTTAATGTCGACTCTATATAGGGAAAATACAAACAAAATGGTATACATTGACAAAATGACACAGTAGCCTTATTTAAAAATAGCTAATTTTATGGAAGTTTCCGCGATTGTATAACATGAAGAAAGCCATAATTAAAAGCCTGTCAGATTTTGAGCGTCATTGTCATAGTCTTGCCGCAGTAATCAGTTCAAACTTGTTTCGCGCCTTAAAAAGTTTATTTTGAAGGTGTTTTTCTCGTATTTTTTGGGTTCATGATATAAATGATATTGATAATGAGCTCTTAATAATAATAAGTATTTTTTGACAACTTATTGTCACCTATTTTATTTTATACAAATAAAAGTAACACCTATTATCGCCCTTAATGTCGACTCTATATTGGGAAAATACGGACAAAATGGTATATATCGGCAAATTGACACAGTGGTCTTATTTAAAAATTGGCTAATTTTATAGAAGTTTTTGCGATTATATAACATGAAGAAAGCCATAATGCATTGCCTGTCAGATGTTGAGCGTCATTGTCACAGTCTTGTCGCAGTAATCAGTTCAAATTTATTTCGGGCCTTGAAAAGTTTGTTTTGAAGGTGTTTTTCTCGTATTTTCTGGGATCATGATATTAATGATATTGATAGTGAGCTCTTAATAATTATAAGTATTTTTTGACAACTTATTGTCACTTAATTTATTTTATACAAATAAAAGTACGTCCTATTATCGCCCTTAATGTCGACTCTATATAGGGGATATACGGTCAAAATGGTATATATCGACAAAATGACATAGTGGTCTTATTTAAAAATTGGCTAATTTTATTGAAGATTCCGCGATTGTATAACATGAAGAAAGCCATATTGAAAATCTTGTCAGATGTTGAGCGTCATTGTCACAGTCTTGTTGCAGTAATCAGTTCAAACTTGTTTCGCGCCTTGAAAAGTTTGTTTTTCTCGTATTTTTTGGGTTGATGCTACATGTGTCAATATCCCATTCCAAAGAGGATAAAACGATTTATATGTGGATTGCTTTCTTAAAAATTAGCATATCAGTATGTCCTTAACATATACAGGTAACCCCCGCATAACAGGGCAGTTACATTCCAAACGTTAGTTTCACACATTTATTGAGCTATTGTACTGCGATTTTACTAATTTTAGATTAAATAAAGTTTGATTTTCATAAATTTTACTATGTTTTTTTATTTTATTAGGGTTTTGTTCAATTCTGAAACCACGATAGAGCGAACCCGTGCCGTGAAAGAACCGTGTTATAAGGGGGATAGTATCAATTAATTCTTAAACCGTGTTAAAGCAAATTTGTGTTCGCGGGGGTAATAGGTTGCATTTCTCCTTAATAAATATGTTACTATAATTTCTACTTAATTAAGATACTATTTACTAGTAGTCAATGAACCAAAGATGAGTGAAAACGATTGATACTGATTACAATACCAATGAATACATAAATATCATTAAAAAGCAAACCACTATGTCATTTTGTCCGTACTTTCTCTATATATACATATATTAATTTTTTCGATTTATTTTCAATCATTTACTAAAATAGACAATACAACAATGTCAACTGAATCACCGCAAGAAAGACAACAACGGCATGAAGAACTGGTTGGAGAAACTGTGGAAGTTGGTCTTATGTTCGCATCTAAAGCGTTTGTTCAGTTGATTGTCAACCCTATTGTCGGACCACTAACCCATAAGTAAGTTATTTTAAAGCAAATATCAATCATGTAGGTACACAAGCTTTGCAAACTTTAATATCAATACATATATCTGAATTATTGCAAACTCTAATATCTAATATACCTGAACTCTATATATACAAATAGCATATCTGCAAAATGTTCGTGATCCAGTTGAAGTTTTGTTCATTGAATGTGTTCTTTTGGCAAAAATTAAAGTAAAACATATTTTGAATCCAATGAATTGTGGTGGGCATAGCTCAGTCAGTATCATGATCGACTTACGCGTCGAAGTTCTCGCATCGAGTCCTGGCACAGGCGCTATGTAAATAACAATAAATTGTGAAATCAAATATGAATATGCCAATATACTTGTACTTGAATAGATTAATATATTAAAATGTATGTACATATGGAAAAAGATGTAAAAACTAAAAGAAATCATATAAAAGATGCAATTGAATAGAATTTGAATTGTTGAGTGAAAATTGAATAGAATTAGAAGTCAAAAAAAGAAAACTTATTTACCTAAATAAGGATTCGTAGATAAATGCAACTGGTATTTAGTACATAAAATAAACTTTGGCTAATTTTGATTCGAGTTAGAAATCTATTACCGCTTGATACGTGTTGATTTGAATCAAGTAACATCAGAATCGAGTCAGGTTCCTAATTCCATTATGCACATCACTATTATATCTGTAAGCGCCCGGCGTAATGTTTATTAAAAAAAGTCAATTAAAAAATCACTACACACGGACACTTTATTACTTCGAAGGACCAGATATAATTTATTATTAGAATGACTATATCAGACCTTTAAAAATAAGTAAGTTAAATAAGTGGGTTTAGTTATTAATAGTATTTATTTGTTTGATGCTCACGGTTCAAGTTTTGCGTACAGAATGAGGATGAATTTCTTAAAAACTATCTTAGTACCTAGAGTAGGGTAGGAAATTATTTTATTATGTCAGGTAGAGAGAGAGGGATTAATAAAATTTGTGAGGCTCGAACATGCCGCCACGTTTTGAAAAAAACAATGGGAAATTTACATGATTTACAATAAAAATGTATAATAATGATTAAGATTAATTAGTTATAATAGTATGTAAAAATGGTTGATTTTATTATCACTTAAATTCTAGTATTGATTAAAGTCTTGTGATTGTTTATGAATTCACTATTGATTATATTCTCTTTTGATTACAATATCTTGATATACATTTGTATGTTTAATACTTTCAGGATTGGATACAGCATACCAATGTTTAGTGGGTTTATAATTATGTTTTTATCAACTATAAGTAAGTACAATTGAATATTGCTCATGTTGTTCAATTATTATTACATCAATGGCTGATCTATATCCCCTTCCACAGTTTTTGCATTCGGAAGAAGTTATTTTGTATTATTTCTTGCCCGTGCATTGCAAGGAATTGGTTCATCTTGTTCTTCAGTTTCTGGAATGGGAATGCTCGCTGAACGCTATACCGATGACGAGGTGGGTTGCATTTTATAACAATTTAATTTCTATATGAATTTCGGAAAATATAGTTCAAGTTCGAGTCAGTTACTATGCATGTTTTATTTGCAAATAATGCCAAATCAGGTCTGATTGACTGAGTCACCTTATCAAGATAAATCTTGGGTTTTTATAAACCTTTCCAAATTGGGTAAAAACGTTTTTTGTTTGAATTTTTTTTAAACTTTTTTTGTAGGAACGTGGAAATGCGATGGGTATTGCGTTAGGCGGGCTAGCTTTAGGAGTACTCATAGGGCCACCGTTTGGAGGTGTTATGTACGAATTTGTTGGTAAAAGCGCCCCGTTCTTAGTTCTTGCTGCTCTGGCACTTGGCGATGGATGTAAGTAATAATTTATAATTTTAATCTCTCACTATTCAATTCTAATACACGACAATTATCATTCAGTGTTGCAGTTATTTATGCTACAACCAAGTGTGGTACGCCAGGAAAGTGATCCTCCAACATTGAAAAGCTTAATATCAGATCCGTATATCTTAATTGCAGCAGGTAAGTCTGAAATATAAACATAACATGTAGTATATATATGACTAATAAAATATTTTATATAAATAGGTTCCATAACATTTGCTAATATGGGCATCGCGATGCTTGAACCTTCATTGCCAATATGGATGATGGATAATATGGAGGCGAGTCGATGGGAACAAGGTGTTGCATTTCTCCCAGCAAGTATATCTTATTTGATAGGAACTAATTTATTTGGTCCTCTGGGTCATCGTATGGGTAGATGGCTTGCCGCTTTGCTGGGACTTTTAATTATTGGAGTGTGCCTCATTTGTGTAAGTTTTCTTATAAAATCGTCGTTAATCACATTATTATATGTTAGACCATATTTTTTCTAGTCAAAATCGGGACGGTAATTTTCTGCTATGATAAACCGGGACGAAGGAGGAGGGAGGGGTAAACACTAAAAAATATAATATGATTCTAAAATAACAAATACTATTTAAAAATGCAATAAAAATCCGGCTTTTATAAATGTGTTTTTTCTAACTCAGAATTATTGACTAAGAACTTTATTATTCGATTAAATGTTGTATTTTATACCAATCATTTTGGATCTATATGTTTTTGAAGCTTTCAAACGAAATAAAAAATTTTGTTCAATTTTCTTCATAATTATTTAAAAATGATTAGCACTTAGGTATTCCAGACAAGCAAGTAGTCATTTTCATAATTTTTTTTAATTTTCGTAAAATTTAAATAAAAGTTCAAAATTATGAATGTGAGAGGCTATTTAAACCCGCCGTTTTTATATAAGTATACTAGTTGTACATAACATTTTTCCGATATTTGATGGGTAGTAGTAATTTTATTATCAAGTAAAAGCAAAGATTCAATTTAAACCTATAATTTTCGAAAACCCGCGTTAATTCGGGACAAAAGATCCAAATCTGGGCCAAAAATTGCTTTTAGAAAAACCCGGGACACAAGGTGAAAACCCGGGACTGTCCCGACAAAACCGGGACGTATGGTCACTTTAATTATAGGCCATAATTCGAATGTGGTATTCTAACTAATAATTAGTGATTTCAATGACAAATAGCATAAACTTTTTTTGCGTGGTAGTGCGCACAATAGCTATCAATACTTCAGAAGTTTCCATAATATAATGCATTTTTCAGATTCCAATGGCTTCTTCTATAAATCATCTTATAGTACCAAATGCTGGCTTAGGCTTTGCCATCGGAATGGTTGATTCATCAATGATGCCAGAACTTGGATATTTAGTAGATATCAGGCATAGTGCAGTTTATGGCAGTGTTTATGCTCTTGGTAAGTATTTATATAATAGATAGAATAATTTATTATTTAACAATAACAAATTCAACTTCAACATGGCGCATGAAGCGTTTACAATACATTAGACTTACAAAACTCAAAGTTGGCTATATTGTGTTGAACATTTTTTCAAGCTTTTCCGCAATGAGGTGTTTTCAAGTAAAGAATTTAAAATACCAAAAAAATGTTTTAATATTTTATATTGATATATCAATATAAAATATTAAAACTATAGTTTTCGCAATTGTTCATCTGTTAAAGTTAAAGCAATTTTCGAAAGGCCATAGTACATAATTATTTAAATTTGTCTCTGTGACAAGATTTGGATTATACATTCTATATATTTACCTAGGTGATGTGGCATTTTGCCTTGGCTTTGCCATTGGACCAGCCATGAGTGGTACTTTGGTGAATACGATCGGTTTCGAATGGATGCTTGTTGGTATCGCAATACTGTGCTTCCTCTATGCGCCATTGCTGTATTTACTGAAAGCTCCACCGACAAAAGAAGAGAAAAAGGTAATAATTATTAAGCATTGGTATATTGTATATAATTATTAACTTTCAGTAGGGTAAGTTACAGTAATCGCAAAAAAATTGAAAAGGAAATTTTTCTGAACATTTTGGAAAGATTTCTGAACATTTTGGCGTACCTTAGAAAAAATGGATGTATGTGTGTGTGGGTGTATGTGCGGATACAATTTTTTGTCGACGATTTCGAGAACACGGATCAACCGATTCGGGTGGTTCAAAAAACATTCGATTGCTATTGATAAGGAGACGTGCTGATTAGTTTTTGGCAAAGCCGTTCAGAAGATACGGGGCAAAAAGTGCCAAAAATGGTAATTCAATTTTTGAGAGACAAAGCGTCCGATTTGGAACTTTCAAAAAACATGTTATTTGTATTGACGAAATGAAGATCTGATGTAATTTTTGAGAAGGCAGGTTTAGCAGTTTTGAAAATCCAATGACATAAGTAAAAAAAGCCAGTTGGTGGTCAAAAGTGGTCATTAGACATATGCACATCAAATTATCAGATATTTTAATAATAAAAACAAGTTTTTTTTACATTTCCACAAGTTGCGTATCAATGTTTATCCGGTTAGACTGCGACGCGGCGCTTACGCGCTTCCATAGTTCGTTTCTACACAGCTGATGTATCGCGATTACTTGCTGAAAAACAGTTCGAAATTTCTAAAATATTTGAAAGTATAAAAAATCAAACATTTTTTAAAACATCAAATTTGTTCAAAAATTTTAAAATTCTCAAATATCTTTTTTTTCAAAGTTTTAAAAAAAATTGAATCTTATTAAAAAAATATAATTTTTAGTACGGGATTTTCCAGCAATTTGCCTTAAGGCACGATGCCATGCACCACTAGTTGTAAATTTTATTGCAAACATGTTATTTATTGTCGAAGCTTTGGATCAACAAATATTTCATTTTACGGTTGTCTATTAAGCAACAAAGTTTATTAGAACATAAAAAATTAGCAAATATCTTCCTCAAGAAGTGTCAATAATCGACTAAATCAATAAGCATTGATATTTAGAAACTGTTACCATTGTGACGATAGAATTTAAAATTTAGACATTATTCCATATTTTGATGATTATTTTACAATTTAACCATTTTTTGTAGGCTCATATTTCTTTAGGATATTTCTTAAGAACTATGATCTCTATGATCAAGTTTCATCAAAATTATCAAAAAAAAATCCACAATTTTCGAACGGGTTTTCAATCTTCAAAAAATGATTCAGGATTTTTAGCTAGAATGTCGACAAAAAAATCGCACTTATTTGGTAAATTTTAAGAAACGGCTCGACAGATCGTATTCAAAACTAATCAATGCGGCTCCCAATAGTGTTTTATGAAATAGCTTTTAAAGTTTCAAAAAAGGTGCTGCTGTTTTTTGAGAAAACACCTACAAAAGTAAAATTTTGGCATACATACACAGAAATACATTCTCAAATTTTGTTGTCAAACTGCTCAGAATGGCTTGTAATATTGAGAAAAATTAGCAAATTGGATTTTCTGGAAAAGCAAAAAACATCTTCTTTGGAGTTAATAATTTATTAATTACAGTTTGATGTTAAATAATACTATATTTATATCTAAATATCATTAAATATTTAAGGCATAAATATATAACAACATTTTAATACAAGTAATTTACCTTTTGTTACAGCAATTGATGGGAGACAGAGCTTCAGTCAGGTACGTATCTTACCACAACGAAGAAAACGATGAATAAATTCAAAACAACAATAACAATCGCTAAAACTTCTATTCTAAACTATGATACTATCATCTTCAAAATTCACTTTCCTTTTTATTTTTTGTTAACATGATTTGATGAGCGACTTTATAACTAGTTTGCGAAATTAATAAACGCAAACGAAAAATTTGCCAAAAAATTAATATTATATGCTCAAAATAATGGCACTAATTTATTATATTTTTCTGAAACTAATTAAACACTAAGTATTTAACAAAATTTTTTCATGAACATTTTTCATAAACGTTTTGTAAGCAATAATTTCTAATTGCATCATAATGTATCTATATAAACTATTGCAATAATTTGAATTTAGGCGCAAGACTTGATAAGATTTATATTTTATTTTGTTTAAAAAGGATATATTAAAGTGCGCAAGAATATTTCTTAGTTGTTAATAAATTTAACCTATTTTATTATATATGGTTAAATCTGTTTATATTTGAGTTCATCAGAAACAAACAAAACCATTTGCCTTTTTGAGTAAACCTTCTGTAGAGCTTTTTTCTTTTAATGCACTTGCGTATCTTTACCTTTAAAATCAAGACTAACATATTAGAAGTGCACGAAGAACATATCTGATGGCTTCTATAGAGAAAATTTATCTATTTATTCAATAGAAAATATAAGTTCACAACGTCCAAATAACTAAAGTTTGTGTAATTTATAAGTATTTATTAATTTATTATTGGACTATTGCATCGCATTTATTGCAAGGCGATTGTGTATTATTATGAAACTGAAGATTAATTTTCGGCAAGAAATTAAAAGTCTTTTAGGTTTGTAATGAATACATTCTCTAAACTGTTATTATCATGATCAAAACTGAACTTACACTATATCTATAAATCAAATTTCTTTTGATTACATCCAATTGAACTGTTACTTATAATTTTTAAAATCAATTTAAAAGTAACATAAATAGTAAATTATAATGAAGTTATGCAAATGTGTATTTTATTGTAAATTATATTATATGAAACTAAATGTAAACTTAATAGAATATGAAAAATAATGTTGCTTACAAGTTAGATACAACTCTGTGTTTTTATAAGGGACTACCTCGAAATATATATTTATAAATAATAAGTGAAACGACCAATAAAATAAACTTCGATTAAGTCTGTTATATATGTATGTTTAATGTTAATCTATATCTCTAACTGAAAACTATATTTGAAAACTAAATAATTAATATTAATTTTTTACTCTATTTTGATAAAAAAATACTAAGATAAGAATTTTTGAATGGCTGCAAAAATTGTTATCACAAGTTCGTTTATGTGAATTTTTTAAGTTGATCCTTTAAATAACTATTTTTATAAATGGACAATATTTCATAATCGAATCGAATTGATTTTAATCTACATACATTGTTATACCAATCATAATCAATTCATCTATATAACAAGAAGCTGAAAAAATAACTCGAAATTTAAATTGAATCTAATCAACTTGTTTGTATTTTAGTAAGTATAATAATAAAAAATGTTTAATGTATATTAATGAAATTAAATAACACATACTGTAATATATAATCTTCTTCGGTGTTTGATATAAATGTATTAATATATATTAGGTATATCAAAAGAAACTGTTAAAATATATTACATCAAAACAAATATAAGAAATAAATTTATAATGTAAACATCGATAAAAGAGTAAGGGACACTTACTTGAACGGATCTTTTAAACATTACTAAAAAATTCTCTTCTAACGTCGAATGAAAATTTAATTGTGATCTTATTAGATATATATGTGAGTGAGTGTTTGTCTACATATATAGATACAGAAATAAAACAAACCAAAAAAAATGTGAATATGTAGATAAATAATTCCAATCGACTGATATTTAGCTGAAGAAAATAAAATAAATTTCGAGTTATTTTACTCAAGTTATGTGTAGAATTTCTGTGATATAATAGTATAACATTGAACAGATTACAATCAATCACAATAACAAATATTTATACATATATGTAAATTCTGTTTTAGCTTTAAGCGATTTGTAATATTATGATGTTACAAGTTTTACTTGCTGAAAAAAGCAAAATTGACCATATAATCTTAATCTAATAATAAGACTACATCACTGATGAACATAATAATGATAATAATAATATAAGGCGCTGTGTTTTCATATTACATTTAAATGAATTTAACTTGGAAAATCATTTGCAATTGTTATAATTTGCACTCGTGAAAATTAAAAGTTCACCTATTCCTACTGTTGATTTTTGTTAATGTGTTATGAAGTCAAAAAGAACCATATTTTCTATAAATTTATATTTCATTTGTTCAAAACCATTGTGAAACCACATGCGCATAATGCCGTAATACAATCAAAAATATACGTGACTGTTGTTCTACGCTGTACTTCTTAGTATAATAAAGTTATTGTTGTCAAAAGCATTTATTTTAATATTATTATGAGTGTTTGTATGTTCAATATTTTTGGATAAGTTTTTACAAATTGCATATAAATCGAGAGCCATTTGTGTAATAGCTCTCATAATAAAGAAAATCGTAAAAGTTGTTGATTTAACAAATATAGGTCCAAAGAACAAAAAAAGAAAATTAACAGACATTCTGCGGGACGGGAATTACTACCCGTTTTCCAAACATTCAGCGACCCAAAGTAACCATATTTCTTTGTTTCAAATACGGGACAAAAACCTTTAGCAGAGATAGTTATGTTATGTGATTTAGAAAACTAACCCATTGGGGACGGGACGGTTTGAATTGAACTGTACCTTGCGGCCGAACTCCTGCCCGACAGTCATTTAAAATTGCCACGCATATTTCTGCATTCTAACTCAAATTTCAGCACTCCAACTCAAATTCTGGACATGTATTTTAAATTTATATACATAGAGTTTCCACATGATAAATAAAATGTTCGTTTATTAACTATTCAGTTTGGTTTACTAACATTGAGTTCCACGGCTATCGACATGTTTTTAGGTGGGATACATATGCGTTCCTCGGCTCTAACAACTTCGTCTTCGTCAAACGCATAATATGAGTTCTTCGGCTAATTTGATGATTGCTGCAAAAAGCATATATGCGGCGCTCCTCCTCAAAGGGTTAACATGCTTTATGCATAAAAAAAACGATCGAACTATTCTCAACCCAAATGCCGCATTTAGACCCACGATCAAACTCGACCATCCACACTATGCGTACTGGGTTGACCCGAGGATGGCCCGAGAGCTCACACCACGGGGTATTCTAATATTGTCTAGGGCTCAGACGTTTTATTCGAAGAGTTGACAAAATATAAGTTGGTTCAACCCTTTTGTTGTGTGGTAAATGTTCAAAATATAATACAAGAGCAAAAAAGACCATAGTTAAAAAATAATTGAACTAATTGGAAGTAATTTAGATTAAAAAAATTATTGAGACAAAAAATAGGTTGTTAAAAGGTCTGATTAAAAAAACTGATTTAATAACAATCAGTTTATAGGTATCCTTATAAGAACATAAATAAACAGTTCCTTTTAGTAAATATTTTTTTGGTCAGATTTACTTATACAATGAATATAATTTTTTATATTTTTAACTTCCCGTAGAGTAAGTTATAGTAATCGCAAAAAATCGAAAATAAAAATTTTTGCATTTCTCGACGTTTCAAAGGTTTCTGAATATTTTGGCATGCCTTAGAAAAAATGGATGTATGTGTGTGTGTGTGCGTGTGTGTGTGTGCGGATACAAATTTTCGTCGACGATTTCGGGAACACCTATTAACCGATTTAAATAATTTAAAAAACATTCTATTCGTACTGATGAGGAGACGTGCTGATTAGTTTTTGGTGGAGGCAGGTCTAGCCGTTCCGAAGATACGGGGCAAAAAGTGCCAAAAACGGTAACACGGTTTTTAGGAGAACGGAGTGTCCGATTTTAAAAATTCAGAAAACATTTTACTTGTATTGACAAGATGAAGAATTGATCAAATTTTCATAAAGGCAGATGTAGCGGTTTCGGAGATCTAATGAAAAAAGTAAAACAAAAAGCTATTTGGCGGTCAAAAATGATTATTAGACATATGCACATCAAATTATCAGATATTTTATAGAGATTTTAACAATAAGTATGAATTTATGGGTTCCGTACCAATATTTATCAGTTAGACGGCGACGCGGCGCTTACGCGCTTTGACATTTCGTCTCTATGCAGTTAAAGCAGTGCGATTGCTTTGAAACAAAGTTCAGAATTTTCAAACTATGCCAAAATAAAGAAAACTTCTTTTTTCAAACAATTTTTTTTTTCAAAAAAAGTAGTTTTTTGTAGAATTTATAGTTTCTCAAAAATCTAATCTTTTCGAAATAATTTTTTTTCAAAAATGTTAATCGTTTTAAAAAAATAATAATTTTTGGTACGGGAAGTTCCAGCAATTTGCCTTAAGGCACGATTCCATACGCCCCACTAGTTTTTAATAAGATAATTCTATATTATTTATTATATTTATTTATCTTCAAAATAAAATATAAATATCGCCGCTTTTAGTGAACATATTTCATGTCGCGTATTTTCATAGATAAGATATCCCGGAAAAAACTGAATCCGGGATTAATATTGCTTTTTAAAAAAATCCGGTAAATGTCGATATCCGAGACAATGGTCACCAATTTAAGACGGAAAAAACTGTTTATTTCTTTAATTTGGCAGCCAGCGCTAACCTAACTGTCAAACTGACAAGAATAGTAATTTGGGGTTATCAATTCATAATATGAAAAAAATATTTATTTTATATTGCTTAATTAATTAAATCAATTAAATATTATTAACTTTTTATTTTACAATAAATAGTGATAAACTTTGATTGATCTATTTTCTGCCTGCGCATAAAAATCATAAATAAATATTTTTTTTAAATGTTATAACCTAATAAATAATGTATCGCTTTCTATACGGGTGTGTGCGGAAAATACAACTGAAAAACAATTTTCAATCGAAATTGAACAATGACATAAATTTGCGCAAGTAATTTATAAACCATTTTGTTCCCGAAGTTTCGATCATAATATTTCCAAGGAACTTAAATATGAAAAATTCGAAGACAAAATCTCTCCACAAATTTTCGATATTGAAGAGGAACGTAAAAGAAAAGAAATGGAAGAACTTGAAGACGACAAAGAACTACATGATATTACAAACAATGTTCTTAAAAGAGGAGTAACTGGAGTATTCGATATAGACGAATTAGTAGAAGTTATTAGACTAATAAGGGACAAGATTTGTGTGTTATAGCAGTACCAAAATCATTTAAATATATAGATTACATGTGCTCTGTTACATGCAGAAATACAAAACATATGTTGGGTATTGCGGAGTTCATTAGAAAGATTTATAAAAAGAAAAGATCGAAGGATGATCCAATACCAAAGATCGAGGGAGCTAATTCTAAAGAATGGATTGCCCTGGATTTAGGAAATATAGCTGTTCATTTATTTTTGAAGAAAGTACGACAGAAATATGATATTGATATGCTGTGGTCTGTTGGCCCTGAATATGATACAGAAACGAACAAGCCTGAAGAAACAATTACTGAGTTATTACATAGCCATTCAGAATTTTTAGATAAATTGATACCTAAAGGACAATAATATAAAATATACATAGAGAGAGAGAAATATTTGTTTAAATATTTTTTTATAGTCTATGGAGTGAAAATATTTAATAAAAAAATTATATATTATATGTTATATCCTGTAAGCAATATTTGCTACAAATAAACAATAATTTGAATTTAAACTTTGTTAAAAAGTAAATTATCATCAAGAATTTGATTTGTTGCAGAACATTTTACATACATAACTTAAAAACTCTTTCTGATACAGTAATGATGTATATTATTAAACTCAATTACCCTTCATCTGGCTCGTAAGATCAATTATGGTAAGAATCTTGTTCTTTAATTAGTAGATTGTAATTAATTATAGCATTATCACAAAAATAACATTGTTATGTGATATATATTCCAACTCAAATCTGCATGTTATATCTCTATCTTTGCTTTTGATAATCTACATATATTATATATAAGCACTTTTATTACTCTCAACTCCAAAGTATCTTGGATTGATTACGGAACAGGCTGGTAAAATGTTTTATACCTAGAAATTTTATCAACTCAATTTCCAACTCATACTTCTGTAGAATAAACAAATTTCTGAGAAATCTAAAAATTGCAATACTAATTAAAATGGCTATTTTTTATATTACTTATATTATTCAATCACATTTAAAAATATAAAATTGGACTGACATTTTTAAAATAAAGTAAATGGATTTATTATTAACAACAGAGAAATGAATCACTGGATTCAAAATAATATCAAAACAATGCCACTCAAAATATTTTGAGAAGGTAGAAAAAAACTTACATCTATGACTGTTATTTATGATTCACAGTATAAATTTTATATAGGACTAGTTGACATTAATATAAAGTAACATATATTATGTAATTTTTGATATTTAAAAATCGAGACAATGAAGATACAGTTCAACAGTCTTTATCAAATGAACTTTCAACTTTCAGAGAATTTTAACAATCGAACTACACTACAAAAGTAGAGCTTTACAACAAATAAATATCAGAACAGGCATTCAATTAAACAATTGTAGTAAAAATAAACAATTCCCTACAATAAGCATCATCAATGTGATGGTGTCTATCTATTTTTTATATATTCAGTAGAAATAGATACCAAAAACAGCTACTAAACAAAATAATGATGGATTTTTATATTCTTCTGATACATATGTATCACATTCAATATCCCACAAACTTCGCATGGCTGTTTTCACTCCTGCACCTTTCTGTTCGCCTAAAACCACCTGTGAAAATTAAATAGATCTCACAGAAAATAAACATCATGATATTAAAAAATAGTATACTTTTGCAACTTATATTAACTTTTTTTTTTTAATGTGATCAAGACATATATTTTTTTTCAAAATTTCTGTATATCTTGATAAAAATTACTTAGTTTTAATCAGACATTAATTCTAATCAATTTATATGATTCAAAAAATATTCTCTTAGTAACTATGAAGAGCGCCTAAATTTGTAATATTTCTGTATCAAAAAAATGCATAAATATAGCCTAATAAATGCATAAAATATAGGAAAGGCGATTTCAAACATGTGAAGTGTGAATATGGCACCATAAATTACCAAACATTTAAATGTTCAACAATGTTATATTCCTAAAATATATAATGCTTACCTGTACTATATGCTTATAACGGCTCTGCTGCAAGCCTTTAATGGAATTATTTATTGCATTAGCCAGATCTATTGTAATTGTTTTGGCAGTATGTGGCAAATAAATTTGGCCATCCAGAGTACTGTGAAGAATAGATATTATAAGTTCTCTGATGGCTGGAATATTAAAACTTGTCCTTGAGTGCTGGTTTAATTCCATATAAACTTGGTTCTAAATCACGTTTTCTTGTATTAGTTCCACTGCTTCCTGTTCCACAAAAATTATGTTAATTATGATCAAAACCAATTTGGTTAATTTGATATTGATATTGCAAATTCAAGTTTTTTTAAATTTTCTTGTGTGTCTATTTGATTTTTAATGAAGATGGTACCATAATGAACGATTATAAATCAGTACATTGTTTTAACAATAATAAATTTATTATGCTTGAAGAAATTGATAATGATCGCCTTTAAACAATGAACCTGATTCCAAATGTTTAATATGTATTATAAATATGCTAGAAAAACAAAGCGATATGAAAATCTCACATTGGTCTACACGAAAACTAATAACACTTATATTTCTATTATACAGAAATGAACCAGACAAAAAAAAAAAAAACAGCACATTCAAACAAAACTAACACACTTTCTATTATTTTTATATACCCATGCTATATTTAAAATACATAGCCAATTATTTCATTAAATTTTTTTTTTTAATTTTAGTGTAAAAGTAATTATCATGCTGAACAATATTTCCAGAAAAAAAAAACGACTCTTACTAATGAAGAATCATTTACAGTACAAGCATAGAAATTTATATCTACATAAACACACAAATACTAGGTGACACGGGAAACGAAATTATGCCATTTAGATCTTTTCATAAATTATTGTTGGATAATAGAAATTAATGTTCAAATTTTTAAGAACATAAGAATCTATTATGATAATATTTTAAATTTGTTTATTTTGTTTGGTATAACAAATAATGTTTTAAAATTAATTAGGAGGCTTATCAAGGAGCATAGTTAATTTGTCATAGATTGTTAATGCTACTCTATTTGCTCTGAGTATGTTAAAAATTGAACAAACTTTTCTGAAATCATACTTTATTATACGTGAAACTGCAGTAATTAAACTAATGTACCTAATAATTTTTAGTCTAAAAAAGTGGGCCTGCTAATTGTACTGCCAAAGAATGTTCATTATTGAAAGCTTGTAATAGAAACTTCAATAATACAACTGTACAAGTTTTTGTGATTGCACATTTTATTCAAATTGCCATATTTTCTGACCTACAATTGATCAGAGCAATTTTATGTGGTAATGCTGTGCAAATTTATTTATTTTTTAAACACATAGCCCGCAGAATAGTTCCAAAACGACTTAGAAATACAATTATTATACATATAATATAGATAAATTACAATATAGTAGAATACATAATAAAATTAAAAACACAAAATAGCATAACACAGAATGTAACAATTTAAAAGCAATATCACACAACATATCCAAATCATTCTCAAAAGAGCTATGAAAGGCCCAGCGAATTTAATAATCGATCGAGTGGGAATACACATCATGTGTAAATAATAATCAGGAGTTATTCATGGTAAACGATCAAATCAAATGTAACATTAACATAAATGATCAAAATTTCATCACATTATCATTTCTATATAGAATTGAATACTCACTTTAAATTCCTTGATTCAGATAGATATTGTTATTCATTTTTAATTTAAGTTATTCGCAATACATGGAAAACTAATTGGCAAATATCAATGAAAATAATTTAAAAATTTGTCGTCTATACATTCAATTTCATAAAGTACTGGTGAAACTGACAGTTTCAATCGAATAAAATAAAAATTGTCGTTAGTACCTCCTCAGAAGCAGTATGATCTGAGACATCTCCAGATTCGATATCATCCGCATTATCTGCCATTAATTAGATATTTTTTCGATTTTCTTTGAATTATTCAAACTAAACAGCGGGCTTTACACAATTTCAAGATGTTCACTAGTTCACATTTATAAAATTACTAAAAGCAGCAAGTGTCAAAATAAGTCGAATCAACAAACACCTGGCGCGCCTCTTGCGGCAAAAATTGAAATCAACTAATAATATGAAGCCTGAAATAGGCACATTATATCGTTTTTCTCAAGAGATGATCTTTTGACAAACTTTGATAGGTTATAATTAAACTGCACGTGTTTTTAAGGAAATAAAGTGTTTATATTAAAGAAAAACTTATTATTGTTCATATTATTGTTTTCAAATATAACGATTTAGGTTAAAGTACAATAAATCAAAATGATTAAATCTAAA